AAAATTTCATTTCATTCATTTTTAATGAACGAATAACATCAGGTATTAATGATGTTTGAGAAGGAGACGGAATAATATATTATCGCGCCCCAATTCTTTGTTTTCATGGTGAATATTTTAATTTTTCATTTTTATTATTAAGATCTCTGATGAAAATGAAAAATAAACAATCTTTACGAATGAATATCGCCAAGTAGTCGTGATGATTCAAAAGACTAAATAATAATTCAAAAAATAACAATCGCAACTCGAAAAACATACGAAAATCCAAAGCCACAATTAACGAGACATTTTTCAGGAAACTAATGGCACAATATTGTCGCGCCCCAATTCCTTGTTTTCCTTGCGGATATTTTCATGTTTAATTTTTATTATTATGATCTGCGATGTAAATAAAAAATAAAAAAAATTTAATGAATAAGTATCGTCAGGTACTAATGATGATTCGAAGACTAAAAAATGATTCAACAAATGAAAATAGCAACTCACAATTTACGAAAATCCAGTCACATTTAATCAAACATTTTGCAGAAAACTGTAACGTCACAAATTATCGCGCCCCAATTGATAATTTGCAACCATCAACATATGAAAATTACAAACGTTGGTGAACGGTTTTTCAAGTTCCAATAAACTCAAGAACACGATAAAAATACGCAGTTAAAAATTTGTAGCAGAATTTCAAGGGTTTTGCCCTTCAAAATTCACAATTTGATGAAAAAATTCACAAAAACAGTTGATTTCAATTCAATTATTTCATGAAAGTTTACAGAAATCGGTTTAATATATTCGTAAAATTGTAATTAATCATAAATAAACAAATTCAGGGTAATTTGGTACTAAATATTCATCTTTTGATTAAAAATTCAAATGAATCCGGGAGTTTCCCTCTTACCGCTGCTTAAAAATTTGGAATTCCATTGGCTTTACATCAGTAATACCACTTGTGCCCAAAATTATCGATTATTTTCCGATCTCTTCGTTGCACGGAAAGAATGCGTCAAATCTCTCTGCAAAATTTGCCCAAATTCATCAGCTAGGCTCACTCTAGGCTCATCACAAAGACAAAAAACTACTTTTTCTTATCCCACGTTATTACACTTATAGAAAGGATTAGTTATTGTTAACGAATGGATTTGGTTGAAGATGAGGGTCTATTCGGTCTCACCACATGTTCATTCGTTAATAGTTAACAAATGCACATTGGAGGAGCCTTGTTTGACTGGATTTTCACTTTTCAAGCGAACCATTCGTTAACTATTAACGAATATTCATTTGGTCATATTCAACTCTACCATTCGTTAATAGTTAACGAATCTTGTTTGGAATAAATGAATCAGTCTATGAGTGTAACACTTCTTATCCAGTGACCATTTTTAATTATTTGACCCTATAATTGGCCCCGGCTACTGGATCTCTATCAAATAAATAACATTTCGAAAAAAGTCAAGGGTCCATCTTGCCCCACTCGCCCCTAACATCACAATTCCCTAATTCCGATCCGACACCCTCTTCAAACCCATAAATATAAGAATGGGAATTACGAGGGCCGAACGTTTTCGGAAATATAAAAATAGTCCGACCCCATGAGTTTTCGTTTGAAACTCGTTAAATATGGATGCAAGATCTTTCCTCTTCCCCGGGGTTTCATCGGCATTTCATTTCATTTCAACTATACATCGAGTTACTCTACCATCCCCCCTCGCCCCCCCCCCTCTCGCCAATTGACTTCCCATTCATTCGTCGAGGGATAAACACACGGGTGCGCCGAGTGTTTTCATCATTTGCGAGCTACCACACTCATTCGCAATTACCAGTTTCCAATGTGTTGGGATATACAATTACCAAGGGGGGTACACAAACGATATAAAAATAAAAAAAAATGCACACAGTGCAGTACAAAAACCTGAACAACACGTGATATTGCACGATTCAACTTTCTTTGTTGTCACGCTCTCGTGAATATCGCCTTGACGAAATATTCAGTATTAAGGATGTTTATCCGACATGGCAAGTACTTGAAAAATTGTGAATTTTTTTTTTTCAACTGATGGACGTGGTTCCTCTTCATGTTGATGAAAGTTTTAATCCAGAAATGCGAGTTGGTTATTCAGGTGTAAAGTAAACAATGCGCAGAGAGTGCAGGCGCTGGCATGCGGTTATTAGGTGTTGTATAGCCAAAGGGGCGGAAGTGGTTTGTGTAAACATAGCTTTTGCGCCTCTTTGGCTCTGGGACGACCATTTGGGCATCAAAGGTTCAAATACCTGCATTGTTTGCACGGGTATCCCAAGATTTTCCATGGCCATTGGATTCGGGACATTTTCTCTCATAGCACTCTTTTTATTTTTACTTTTGGAGTTTTTTAGTAGCTGCACGTATGAAAACATCGTAGGGGAGGGTGGGGTAAAATGGACACTTTTGAATTTTTTTGCAATGTTCATGACGTGTTGAATTGTTCATGAAATGGAATATAGGGGAGGGTGGGGTAAAATGGACACTTTTGACTTTTTTTGAAATGTTCATGACGTGTTGAATTGTTCATGAAATTAAATATTTTTATTTTTCAATTGAAAGAACAATGATTCCTCTTTGTGATGAGCTTAGACTGAGCTCAATTGATAAATCTGTTTCTGAGTTATGAATATTTTTCAAAAGTCAAAAGCGTCCATTTTACCCCAACCTCCCCTATAGAAATTTTCTGTACGGATTGCGTATAGAAATTCTATAGATTTCCGTATATGATATTCGAATATTTGTATACGAATATTTTCTATACGAATTATTTTTATACATAAATTTTTACATAAATTATTGTTTTCATACTAAAGATGTCTAAACGGTTCAGGGAAAAACGTAGAGAAATGTCGCAACTCCATACGAAATGTTTCTATACATGTGACAGTGGGTCGTATAGGATGAAACCTATAGACATCATATAGAAATAATTTGTATAAAAAATATCCGTATAGAAATAGCCGAATATCATATACGAAAATCCTATAGCAATTCTATACGCAATCCCTATAGAAAATTTCTATACGATTTTTTCATACGCGTGAATTATCAGGTTGAGATAAAAATTGGTTATTTCATTTCGTCGACGCTACTGCAACTAATTTTTCTTAATTATCAAAAATGCTAGTTTCATGTTATGTTCCATCATTATCATAAAAAATTACAGAATTTTTCTCGAACATGGAAAAATTCCATGGTCGGGGGATGAATAAGCATCCTCAATAATTCAGTAGCGAAGGGTACTGGTCGATTTTGACTATTGCTGAGTTTTCAATTAATATCTCGGAATCTAAAGCAGACAGCAAAATTGTGCTCATAACGTTTTTTGCAGCCCTTAAATCGCTTCGCAAAAAATGCTCTTACGTCTATATAAATTTTTAGAATTGTTTTCTCCTACAATCATTATTTTATCTCTATGAACTTACTTTGTTGACTTCATCACTGCATTATTGAATGAATGAAGGAGTTTCATAAATAAAAAATAATAATTGCAGGAGAAAACACAATTCTAAAAGTTCATATAGGCACAGGGTTTCCGTTTTACCTTAAGGATGTTCGACATCCTTTTAGCCAAAATTGACGTTGTTTTCATTTTTCTGGCAAATTATCGATGGGAGTGACGTGAAAAAATATAACGATTTTGTGGTTTGTCATTCTTTAATGGCTCACGAAGTTGCGTAGTGGTGCGATAATTTTCATGCGTTTTTTCTACAGTTTTGTGATTCTTTTTAAAAGTTTAGAGAAAACGCAGGAAAATGTTCGCACCACCTTGAAATTTCGTCAGTCATTAAATAATAACAAAACGCAAAAACGTTATATTTTTCACGTCAATTCCATCATAAGTTTGCCAGAAAAATGGAAAAAACGTGAATTTTGGCAGAAAGGGTGGAGAACATCCTTAAGTTAGAGATATCTTAAGGTGAAACGCAAGTAAGTACTTTGGTTATTTATTTCTTCTCCAGTGAAATGCTTTTCTAATTTTGTAGTCGAACATCAGAGCTTTTATTTGAGCCCCATTTGACCCCAAGTTTCCGAACATTTTGCAATGATTTTATTATTCCAACTTCGCAGGTTTGAATTTGAATCTCGATATTGGACCGGTAGAAAACATTTAAAAAATCTGAAAAAAAAGGAAAGTTGTTTTGAAGAAAGATTAATGAAATAATTTAAGAAGTACGAGCACTCTTTATAAATAATTTATAACCAATCAATTTTCCAGCATAAAAATCGTTTGTTCTAAGTCATAACAAATTTATTCATATTCAAAATTTCTCCTGAAATCGATTTCATGCCTAAAAAACAGAATTTCCGAAAGTTCAAACAATTTCCATTATTTATTTACAAACAACGAACATTAAAAAAATAATATTTCTATACAAAACATAATTTGAATGACACTGAATATTCATGATCTATCTCAAACTGTTCTCACTCAATTCAACTGACAAATTCGATGATTGAAAATTATTGAATCTACAGTGTGGTCTGTACCAACAGTAAAAGCCACTTTGACATCCTTAAACCGTATTCCCACTTCACTACCGAATTTCCACCTTTTGTTTCCGCACGAAATAAAACTGCGTGAGCGCAAATTCTCCATACATCACTCGTTAATACACGTGAGTCATTTTGCAGACGCGTGACAAACGCACTCCGAGAAAAGACGAAATACATAAAAAGAAGAATAAAGAAAAAATATCGAATGTGTCATGCAGGTATCTCGGCGCGCCTTTATTTACGGTTAAAATTTATGACGACTTCTCGCGAATAATAAGCCGAACAAGTCGAAACATTTTAATCGTTTTCTCATACCGCGCCCGCCAGTTGATTCGAGCGTGGAACGTGATTGCGCCACGAGTGAAAAAAAAAACAACAAATCGTGAAAGAATGTTGAAAAAAGAAATACGGAGGCTGTTGTACGATAATGCCCCTTAAACGGCGAAAAAGCCTTTAAAACTGGGTAAGTGATTTAAAAATAACTCACCTTCTGGAGAAATAGGGACGTGATTTGCTCCAGCGAAGACTCGTGACCCGGAGTGAAGTCCTTTCTATTGTATACTTGAGGCCTCAATTGCCTCTTCACCAATAACGAACGCTTTATCAATACCAATTGAACAAAAACAACCCCCGATGATGTGTCCCTATTATACTCTAACAACAGCACAACACACTTGACGAAGTAATAAAGCAACGAATCAATGGTTTGCACACGTAAACTGTTGATGAGAGAGAATGAAAGTTTATACAGAAGTGTTGTAGGATTGGCGTGAACGCCCCGGCAGCCGATGATCGTGCATCGGGGCCGGCTGAGAACCGACTGACTCAGCGTCGTAGCCAACAGTTGGGTGCCAGGGGTATCCTGTTTTTTTTTCCACGAAGGAGAGGCACTTGTGCGCACTTTTGCCCATTGCATTCACCATAACCCTCTGCCTCCTAGCATATTTTCACTCGAAAAATGTGAGTTTGTTGAATTCATTCGGAATAGACATTTTACGGGGAAATGTGGAACCGGTGGGCAACAACACTGACCTTCTCATTGCAACATTACATTGTAAAATAGAATGTGTTTATTTTTAATAGAACATGTTCTGCCTGAACATGAAAAATTCAATAGAAATACTTTGGGAATTCGCTAGGAAACTCTAGGGAATTCTCGTTAAAATTCTACTTGCTTTTTGCGGTGATTCTAGGAGATGTTTGATAGGAAAAAGTCAATAGATTTCGATTTGTCTGTAATGCAAAACAAAACAAAATATAGCGGAAAAAACTTGGAAAATCTGGGTCCAATAATTTTTATTCATTTTTTATTTTTTTTTATTTTTTTATTTTTTTTATTTTTATGTTCCTCATTTTTTAACCCGCCAATCTCTCCAAGTAGCATATTCACGCGTGGAAAAATTCAACAGAAATACTTTGCGAATTCGCTACAAAATTCTAGGGAATTCTCATTAAAATTCTACTTGTTTTTTGCCCTCATTCTATGAGATATTTGTTAGGAAAAAGTCAATAGATTTCGACTTTTCTGTAATGCAAAACAAAATATAGCGGAAAAAACTTGAAAAGAGAAAATCCGTGCTCTATAATTTTTATAGAAAAAATCTCAAGAGAAAAATTCAAACAGAAAAATTTTAATCTATTGACTTCTTCCTATCAAATATCTAATCGAAAATACGCAAAAAACAAATAGAATTTTAACGAGAATCTCCTAGAATTTGAATAGAATCCCCATACAATTTCTAGAGAATTTCATTAGAATTTTCTAGCGAATTCACTAAGGTTTTCTATTAAATTTTTTCATACGTGTTTTCACTCGAGAAACGTGAGTTTGTTGAATTTATTCAGAACAGATATTTTATGAGGAAATGTGGAACCGACGGACAACAACACTGATCTTCTCATTGCTATGGGCTACAATAGCAACATTACATTGTAAAATAGAACATGTTCTGCGTCGTTTTTTAACCCACGAATCTCTCCAAGTAGCATATTCACGCGTGGAAAAATTCACCAGAAATACTTTGCGAATTCGCTACAAAATTCTAGGGAATTCTCATTAAAATTCTACTTGTTTTTTGCCCTCATTCTATGAGATATTTGTTAGGAAAAAGTCAATAGATTTCGACTTTTCTGTAATGCAAAACAAAATATAGCGGAAAAAACTTGGAAAATCCGTGCTCAATAATTTTTATAGGAAAAATCTCAAGAGAAAAATTCAAACAGAAAAATTTAAATCTATTGACTTCTTCCTATCAAATATCTGATCGAAAATACGCAGAAAACAAATAGAATTTTAACGAGAATCTCCTAGAATTTGAATAGAATCCCCATACAATTTCTAGAGAATTTCATTAGAATTTTCTAGCGAATTCACTAAGGTTTTCTATTAAATTTTTTCATACGTGTTTTCACTCGAGAAATGTGAGTTTGTTGAATTTATTCAGAATAGACATTTTACGAGGAAAGGGGTAACCCATGTGTAACAACACTGACCTCGTCATTGCTATCGGCTACAATAGCAACATTGCATCGTAAAATAGAACATGTTCTTGTCATTAGTAGTTGTCTTCTTTATTAACAGTTTCAATTAGTACCACAATTCTTTAATTAACGGATATTACTTTAACAATGATTTAGGAATTCTCGGGGAACATTCTCTTTGTTTCATAATTAATGTTTCAGGGCTCAGTGTTGACGGGTATTTAGCAGAATGATATTCAAGCTAAATTCATTGCTCGTGATTAGTGCCGGGACACTATTTTGTACCGTCATAATCGAGTTGATTGTCCTTGAACGGCAACTTTTCCACCAGTGACTTTAGCGCTCTTTGTCTCGATGGCCTTCGGTATTCGAGGTGAATTTTTCGTTGAAACCTTTCATTTTCAGGAATTTAGCAATCGTTTGTGAGTGTTATTTTAATGCACGAGGGCTTTTATGTCGTTATTATTTAGTTTTTTTTCTTTTACGTGGGGTTTGGAATAATAGTATAGCCTCGGGGTATCAATTTTTTCTGAAGGAAAATTGTACGAAAAATCCTAGAAAAACTATTGAAAATTCTGTTGAGAAATTTTGCAACTATTCAGTGCATTTTATTTAATGGAAATATTCAACGGGGAATATTTCGTAAACAGTTGAGAGATTTTAAAATTTTTCTGTAGGAACAATCTCAGCAGAATAAATTCAGTAGCGAAGCGGTAAACCGGGTCAAGTCGGTTTTGACTTCTGGCCAGTTTTTTATGAATATCTTGGAATCGAAGAGAGATAGCAAAACTTTTCTTATGACCTTTTTTATAACCCTCAATTGGCTCTATAAAAAAGACCGTGAGAACAATTTTTCTATCTCTTTTAGATTCCGAGATATTCGTCAAAAACTGGCCAATAGTCAAAATCGACTTAATCCGGTTTACCACTTCGCTACTGAATTGTAGAGAAAGCTCAAAATCTATGGATTTTTGCAATTATAAAATAAATAGAATTTTCTAGCAAATGTGCCAATTTTCGATGGCCTTCGGTATTCAAAGTGAATTTTTTATTGAAACCTTTCATTTTCAGGAATTTAGCAATTGTTTGTGAGTGATATTTCAATGCGCGAGGGTTTTTACGTCGTAATTTTGGATTTTTTTATTTACGTGGGGTTTGGAAGAATAGAATAGCTTCGGGGCAGAAATTTTTCCTGAAAGAAACGTGTACAAAAAATCCTTATTAGAAAAACTATTGAAAATTCTGTTAATTTTTCGCTGATTCTGTTGAGAAATTTCGTAACTGTTCAATGCGTTTTCTTCAATGTAAATGTTCAACGGAAAATATTTCGTAAGAAAAAGTGAATAGATTTTAATATTTTTCTGTAGGAGCAATTTCAGCTGAATAAATTATAGAGAAAGATCAAAATCTATGGATTTTTTCAATTATAAAATTCATAGAATTTTCCAGCAAATGCGCCATTTTTCGATGGCCTTCAGTATTCAAAGTGAATTTTGCGTTGAACCCTTTCATTTTCAGGAGTTTAGCAATCGTTTGCAAGTAATATTTTAAGGCACGAGGGCTTTTACGTCGTTATTATTTAGATTTTTTTTATTTAAGTGGGTTTCGGAATAATAGTACAGCCTCGGGGTAGCAATTATTCCTGAAGGAACAGTGTACGAAAAATCCTAGAAAAACTATTGAAAATTGTGTTGAGAAATTTTGCAACTGTTCAGTATGCGTTTTCTTAAATGGAAATGTTCAACCGGAAATATTTCGTAAGAAAAAATCAAGAGATTTTAATATTTTTCTGTAGAAACAATCTTTGCAGAATAAATTCTATAGAAAGATCAAAATCTATGGATTTTTTCAATCATAAAATTAATAGATTTTTCCAGCAAATGCGCTAGACTGTTTTTATGAAGAAGTTTTTTCAGACGTGATTGTTTTCTACAGTGTTATGAATAATGTGGCAATGGTTTGCTACTTGTGGCATACTAATTAAATTCGTACAATTGTGAAAATCACCTGAAACCAGTCAATTATCATTTTCTCTCGGGACAATGTGCACGTTATGAAGGCAGTATTAAGTACGGTTTACCTTGTTTATAAACTTTCCCTGGACACAAGTGCAATAACGACAAATGATTCTTATCAAGGTTCAACGAACTCCACTCGTCTTCTATCGATGGCATAATTTCCACGTATCTATCTCTAGTTTTATCATCAACATTTTGTATATCTCTGTATGTTATAAATCCAAGTCTATGCGGTGGCTCAGCAATCAGTCCAGGCATCCAGCGTTTACAAAATTAGTGGCGATAAGGTGAGCTGTTACGGAAGGCTTTACCCTTCCATGAGGCATTATTCGAGTTGAGTGTTGAATATTTTTATGTAAATTTCGCTTCCTTTCGTTTTCATCAGATAATGCCAATACTTTCTAACGAATCAGGTCTACTATCTGAGCGGATTGACACTCATTTCGTTATTATTTCCATTCATCTTCACTAATCGCCATAATTTCCGCCTATCAATCTCTAGTTTTATCACCAACATTTTACATATCTCTATTTATTATAAATCCTAGTCTATACGAAAGCTCATTATTTGTGTTAAGTGTTCACTATTTTTAAGCAAATTTCTCTTTCACTCGCGTTTAACAGATACTTCCAATACTTTCCAACGAATCCTCTCTTTATCTGAACGGATTGATACTCATTTCGTTATTCTTTCCATTATCAACTTCATCAATCTTTAAATTACTAATTTCACCGTCAACTCTGTCAACCACAAAAACACTTCGAATCATCTTTCAGCTAGCTGCAAGCTCATCCAGTTTTTCGTAATTGATATATGATATGGAGTTTAACCCTCTGAGGTGAAAAGCGTAGTTAAGCGTAATAGGGCGCTCGAGTGGGGACGCGGGTATTCCGCTTTTACGATTGTAGAGTGGGGATATTGAAATTCACCTTAGGGGGTTAAGGGAGATACACGTGTTATCTTGACACATCACTCGTCTTCTATCATCGCAATAATTTCCGCGTATCAATGTCTATTTTATTTAATCACCATCATTTCACATATCTCCATTTATTACAAATCCTAGTCTATGCGAAAGCTCATTATTCGTGTTAAGTGCACTTAAAGATATTTAACATGTTAAATATCTTTGTCAATTTCGCTTCCTCTCGTTTCCATAAGATAACTCCAATACTTTCGAAAGATTCAGCTCTACTATCTGAACGAATTGACACATTTCCTTGTTATTCCGTTATCAACTTCATTTTATGTCTCCATTTATTATAAATCGTAGTCAATACAAAGGCCCATTATTCGCGTTAAGTGT